CGTGTAGATATGGGAATCGATGGAAAGAGCGCGTGAGCCTATAGGCTGTTAACGTGAGGCGATTCGATTTCATCGCTGTGAATGATGTTGTGTTACTTCTTGAAGTTCGGAGAATCAGAATATTCGGCAAAGAAATGTTTCACTGACACGAGAATTATTTGTACAATGGTATTACATACACAGTTTTGTAGGAACTGTTGCAAAAATCGAATTCTTGTATAGTCGGGGCCACGATATAGCGAGGTCGTAAAATCGGTTAGGCGTCAAAGTAAACATGTTTTAGCTGCCGGGACCCGAAAATTGACAGAGATACGAGCAGATAAGTACTTGAAACCATGGTCAGGACCGTACAAAGAATTCTTCTATCCAGCGAAAGTCAAACTGATTCTAATATATTTACTGAAAATTGAGTTCAGCTAGGACAATTTAGGGTTTTTTTCTTCTGGGAAAAGCCGCATTTGGAAGTACGGTTACAAGATGCAGATAGAAAATGCAAAAGGATTGTGTAGCTTTAATATTAACATATTTTCCATTTGTAAATGAAATACCATTTTCTACTTGAAGTACCAAATCATATGCTACCATTCGTTTATTGTTGGAACCCTCAAACAGACTGCAACACACGGCCTTGAGTGCCGCAACATCAATCGGTGCCGATTCTTGAGAGTTTAATTTACGACCTCGCTATATTGTGGCCCCAACTAGACTTTTTCATTTGAAAAATGTGTTTACAATATATTGTTGCGAAATTCGTTAAATTGTCAGAGTTATAGAGGTGTAAACGTTGTACCATTGTTTACATTGAAACGGCGGCTGTTGGATTATTTCTAATGTTAGAAAAGTCCAAAAAGCGAAGGCTTGAGTGGGCCATGTGCAGTCTTCTGCTGCGTTTCCCCCTCCTAGGGATAGTTCTGCCTCAAGGCTAAGAAAGGCCATATTGTCAAGGGGGTCCTCTTGACTAGGTTTTTCAGAAAAGATAGAATTGTATCAGCACTCGTACAGGATAGTTCGAAATACAAACATTCACTCTGTTTAACCGCCCACGTTTATATCTTATTCAACCGCTCACCACCGTTATCCTGACTGATTTTCTCTTTCACTAATAACACCCTAAGGAAATAATCAAGCGAGGACAAAAATGTCTCCGCGTTATTTTAAACAAAGGCACTAAAACTTCCACCAGATGTGTCTGGTGTCCGTCTTCGAGTCACGCACTGCACAATGCGATAGCATAATGT